GTTAAAATACAAAAAATTTCATATCTTTTAGGCTAAAGGGTCAAATAGGTACATGAACTAACTTAAAGTGTTCAATTGGTCCCTTATATAGGTGGTTCTGCCCGGCCGTCGCCAATTGGGGCGGTTCCCGGTGGAAGTTTTTTTTGAAACTTTTTGAGCATCTTCTTCATTAATTCTAGTTCACTCATACCAAATTTCAGCTAAAAATTCAATCGTGAAGGCAGTCAAATGATTTTTTGAAGATAACTGCGCAGTTAAACAGCGCAATACAATTCGGAAAATCATTTGACTACCTTCCCGGTTGAATTTTTAGCTGAAATTTGGTATGGGTAAACTAGACTTAATGAAGAAGATGTTCAAAATAGTTCATCAAAAAATTCCACCGGGAACCGCCCCAATTGGCAACGACCGGGCAGAACCTCCTATATAAGGGGCTAATTGAACACTTTAAGTTAGTTCATGTACCTATTTGACCCTTTAGCCTATCTTTTAAAAAGTCTAAAGTAAACTTACAACATTATCTAAAACTACATAACTTTACTATAACACTTACAATGATACAGAGGGAGGGAGTATATTTCTCTCTTGTCTTATAACTAATGTGATTTCATATATTTATGTAGTTTACATGCATTTTAGTCGAATTAAAAGACATAAATTCATTTATTACCTAGTTATGTATTTTTTTTAAAGAAAAGAAAGCTTTATTGATAATAGACGCAGAATCCAAGCGCTAATGAATGAAGAAAGTAAATGGAAAAAAACCAATGAGGAAAACACAAATTTAGTAAGTTGTATTGGAGTAATTGAGTCGGGTATGCTGTTGGATATGTTGCCTGGTGTTATGCAATCGTGCTTGTTGCCTGGTCTCAATAATCCTTGGTGTAGATTCATTGCGTCTTTTGGATTTTTTGGAAACAACAACCGTCAAACCTTCTTCTGTTGACGGCATATCAGTCTTTAATTGTTGAACCAAATTAATTTGTTTCTCTTGGACCTTTTGCTGCATTTTTTACCACGGTCTTTTTGAAATAATTGAAACACAACTTTAATGCATGTTGGCAAGAAAGTTATGATAATCCTTTGTTGATTCCTCTTCAACTAGACATCATTGAACCACCTATTGTATTTGTTATTTGTTTCTTTGCAGTAGCTTGAGTCACTTGATCTTCATCAACAAAAGCAGTCACATGCTCTTCCTTCATAGAATCTAAATCTTTATGAGCTCTTTCGGCCTTTTCTTTATCTAGAAAAACCTCAATCATCTTCTCTAGATTCTCTGTAGATATAAAACCCTCAATATCTTCTTTAAATAACATCTCAGAAATGGATAAAACATTCTGAGAAGAATTATCCTAGACCCAATCACAACACTTCACCGCCATATCTGAAATAATTTCTCCATGTTCAAGTAGTTTCCGCTATACGGATGCACTCATCATTTTGATCGTTGTAGATAACTCTGTCAAAAAGCTCTCATCCCCTATTCTTTTTCGACCCTCCGGAACAAAAAGAGAATCGTAACTCTTTCTCTATTATCCGAATAAAGCCCCCAAAACATCTAGAATCTGCCTAAATAATATCTTAACCAAAGCATCCCTCAACCATTTGAGTTTTTCAAGATCAAACTCAATTGTTGACAACAGTCCCCCCAGTTATATTTAAATATATATCATATAATCTAGGCCCGGTTTGGTAATCCTTTTCGGCATACTTGTTTTATTAGCTATTTTTATTATCAACATGAAAGTTTTGATCTTGCACACTGAATTATGTGATAATCAAAATAAGTAGAATTTAAGTTACTTTCTTGATGGTTTTGCCTATGTTTCTCAACGGTAAATGTTTAGCTATTTTCATACTTTCTTTTTCCCAATTTTATGGTACTTATTCACTTTCCAAGATGTCCCAAAATGATACGCTCATAACCTTAAGAAGAGTTCTTATGAGAACTCCTCTTAAATTGAAAACCATTTTCAAAATGACAAGGTGGCGTTTTTGTAATTATTTAGCATTAATTGAAAAGGGCCCCATTTGAATTTGGGGTAATTACAAAAATGAGCTCACGTGAATCATCACCAATGATTACAATAAATGAAGGGATGAGATTAAAAGTTCTCATTATAAGAAGTTCTCGCTAGAACCCTCCCCTTAATTATCAAATTGTCAAATTTAATTTACACTTCATTTAGTGCCATAATCCCCCAACTACCCTCTTATAATTATTTACCTAGATACAAACTTCCTTATTATTCTAGACCCTTCTTCTTCTTCTCCTCTTTTTCTCTCAGGTCTCTTTATCTTTCGCCTCTCGCTTATTTGTGTTCGTCTTCTTCCACATCTCCTTCCTTCGCTGCCTCTCTTAGTCTCTTTGTTCTCTGCATCTGCTTTCTTTTAAAAGACAATTATACATATGTTGCCTTTAGAATCACATTGTAGAACCACCATCAGATATAAATTCATATGACGTGGTGCTATTTTTGCAGTCTTTCATTCTTAAGGGTGTGTTTGGGAGTTGGGTTTTGGGGGGAGGGAAAGGTTGGTGGGGGTTTATGACATTCCTTTCAATTAGGGGTGGGCAATTCGGTTTACGGTTCGGTTCTCTTCGGTTTCGGTTTCGGTTTATTCGGGTTGGGAAAATTTGTACCAAACTAAAACCATTTGTGTTTCGGTTTGGTTTCGGTTTGGTTTCGGTTCGGTTCGGTTTGAAGTTCGGTTTACCAAATTAAAAAATATTATGTTTAATTTAGTTTGGTTTGATTCGTTTTGCTTATGTTTATTATTTTATTTGATCAAGTTCTATACATATTTTAGAATTAGAAAATGAAAGTAGTAGTTCATCTCATCTTTTATTAATTTATTGATTATTTAAATAAAATGTAAAAGGAAATACAAGATAGAAAAATAAATAGCAAAATATTATAAATTAAAACTTCTAACATCTTTTTTATCACTACAAAAAATTCACTTCTTACAAAAATAAGATAGTTGATTAGCATTTATAATATCACATAAAAAATTCAAAAAATCTAAAAGAGTCGGTACAAATGTTGTAATATTTACAATTTTATTCAAATGAATCATGTATTAATATAAATGCAATTTGCTATTGTAATCGCCAAACATAATAAATACTCCGTACAAATATGTCGTATTAGCTAACTTTGTCATAATGAATGTATGAAATGTGTAAAAATTAAAATGATACAAGTATATGCTTAAATATGTATTTTCATGTTTAAATGATTTATTTATATCTTAAAAATGAAGAGTGAAGATAAATACAAAGTGTGTGTATATGTGTGTGTGTGTTGTTTGGTGTTCGGTTCAGTTTACGATTTTTCCGTTTTAAACCAAAGTACCAAACCATTCGGTTTGAGCAAATGTTTACCAAATGGTTTACTTAACTAAACCCAAACCAAACCAAATCAAAACACCAATTTTAATAAGGGAAAATGGAAACTAATAATCCAACCTTTTAGCGGTCTTCTTTCAATAATCCCACCTTTTGATTATTCATGAATAATCCAACCTTTGCACCCCATCTTCATTTGTTGGTCCCTGATCGGTTAATGACTTGCTATTCCAAGTTATTTTCTTATCTTTGCAAAATATTATCTTTGTGAAAGATGAGATTTATGGTATAATGATTTGCAAAGATAAGAAAATAGCTTAGAATAGCAGGTTATCAACCGGTCAGAGACCAGTGAATGAAGATGAGTTGCAAAGGTTGGATTATTCATGAATAATCAAAAAGTGGGATTATTGAAAGAAAATCGCTAAAAGGTTGGATTATTAGTTTCCATTTTCCCTTTTAATAATATATGAAAGTTTTTTTTAGTTTCTTAGTTCGGTTAAGTTTTGTTCGGTTTTTATCGGTTTCGGTTCGGTTCGGTTTAATTCGGTTTGAAAGAAATAGTACCAAACTCAAACCAAATTGCATACGGTTCGGTTTTGGTTCGGTTTAGTTCGGTTTGGTACGGTTCGGTTTGGTACGGTTCGGTTTGGTTAAACCAAACCGTTATGCCCACCCCTACTTTCAATGTTTGGGAGTTTATAAAAGGAAAAACTGTCAAATAGGTCCTCGAACTTTCATAAAATGGTCAAATAAGTCCTTTCAAATGCGTTCCCCAAATCGCGACGCCCGGACAGAGCCTCCTATATAATGACTTATTTGACCATTTTATGAAAGTTCGAGGACTTATTTGACAATTTTCCCTTTATAAAATTGGAGGAGATGGTTTTGGAGGAATTTTGTGACCCTCTAAATGAGGAATTAAAAATACTAAGCTCGATTAGAAATAAATATTCATTCAATTATTTGAATTCATCATATCTCAAAGTGATTTTAATTAGGAAAAATTGATAGTAATAATCTCAACTATTGGCGGTCCGCTCATAATAATCCCAAGTTTCCAACTATCGATTATTTCAGAATAATCTCAACTTTATGGACTTTCCGCCAATAATGATCCGACGTGACCGACTATAAATAAATTCTTATAGTTTCTAAAGTGGATGAGAAGAGATAAAGCAGACAATCTCTATAAATAATCCCAACTTTTAATTTTTACCCTTAATTTCTATTTAAAATTCACTTGTTATAGGAGGTAATATATGGGCATGGACCATTATTGGTGGACGGTCCATATAGTTGGGAATATACAAAAACAATCAATAGTTGGGATTATTGTTAGCGGATGAATAATAGTTGAGATTATTATTTTCAATTTTTCTTTTTAATTATAATTCATTCAAATACACTTTTCTCCCAAATTTATTACTCCCACATACAAAAAGGGACTTCCTCACCATCCTCTCCCTTTTCCCTTCAACAACATATCTCCACAAAGTCTTCCCCTTCTCTCCACAGAAGGGGGGGGGGGGGGGGAGTACAAAGTAGGTCTAGATTTATACTTGGGTATATGTAGGTCAGAAACTCTAATCTGAATGATGGGCAGGAGCTGACATCACTTCCAACTTGTCTAGAGTATCTGATTTTTTTATGAACGGTAAATATATTAAAAATGCCAAAAATGTTAAGTACGTGAACAAAAGGGACATACCCCTGTCAATTATCAGCAACATATTATAACAAAACAGACAATACTAATGCATCAGAAACCTTTAAAGAACTACACCCAAATATCAATCTTCAAAAATCAATGAGGCTAGAGGGATAAAGCCTAAGAAGCACCTTGTACACAAGACCTTGGATCTCCAGAAATACATTCTTGACTGAAGTCACCTTTTGGGCAAAAATGGTTTGGTTTCTAGTTTTCCAAACAACATAAACTGTACAACAAAAGGCTAACGGAATAGTCTTACTCATTATCCTTGTTCCTCCATACTCCTTGCTACATAATTTGATAGTGCTAAGAAGTGTAGATGTATTTTTCCTAATCTTCAACCAATGTCTAACATGCTGCCAAACCCCAGAGTGAATTGACACTTAAAGAACAAGTGGTCAACTGAGTCCATATGTGATTTGCAAAAACAGCAGGATCTATCCATCTCTATATACAATAAATTATCACAAGTAGGTAATTTGTTATGTAACCCAAGCCATGTGATAAAAGAGAGTTTAGGAGGGATATAATTTTTCCATATGAGCCTCATCCATGGTTTGCAATGACTTTTAGTTCTCATGATATCATAGACCATACCGGATTTAAGTTTACCTTGATCGTAGAAGGAGAGGAACTTGTTAATGACACCAGCCTGACCTCCCAATAAGTTGCAAAGCTGATCTCTGATTTTAATCAATCTGGTCACCAATGGGGACACTCCAGATTGAGGTGTCCAATCCCAGATGGAACTACCCCTCAAGTACACACTATGAACCCATTTCACCCATAATGAGTGTTTTTTCATGTGAATATTCCAAAGAGTTTTAGATACTAATGCAGAGTTCCATATTTTGCAGTCCTTCGGTCTCAGACCCCCCTCCTCTTTTGGTTTACACACATCAATCCAAGCAGCCTTAGCATTTGGTCCTCCCCATAAGAACTGTCTACAATGGCTTATAATCTTGTCCATTACCGCATTAGGCATGGGAAAGACCTGGATCCAGTAGGATTGTACACCTTGTATGACAGCCCTAATCAGTTCAAGGCGTCCAGCGTAGCTCATATTTATAGTCTTCCATTTTAGAGTGAATTCTTCAATTTTTTCCACCAGAGGGGAGTACTGTGCCACATATATTCTGAGAGGTGCCAGAGGTACACCCAAGTATCTCACTGGAAACTGCCCCGCAGGGATACCAACCATAGCCAAAATATCCTCCTTTTCTTGTCCAATAACCCCGGCAAGGAAAATACTAGATTTAGTTATATTGACGGCTAAACCAGAAACATCATGAAATTCATCTAAACAACGCATAAGAACTTGGATAGAGCGCATATCACCTCTAGAGTAAAGCATCAAATCATCAGCGAAAATCAGGTGTGAAATTTTCATTTTTCTACACCTAGGGTGGTGGTTAAAATCAGAGTCAGATGTTTTCATCATTAGCAACCTGGAGAGATATTCCATGCAAAGTAAGAACAGTGTAGGGGACAAAGGATCCCTTGTCTAAGGCCTCTCTTTCCTTTAATAAACCCATGTAGCACCCCGTTTACTGAAATTGAGAAAGAAGTTGTACTGATGCATTCCCAAATCCAAGATATAACGGTAGTAGGGAAGCCTAAAGCCTTGAGCACGTCTTTCAAGAATGCCCAACTCATAGTATCATAAGCTTTCTTAAGATCCACCTTAATCAGACATCTCGGAGAAATAAATTTTCGGGTATAGCCCCTAACCAGTTCCTGGGCAAGAAAAATATTGTCTGTTATTCCTCTACCTTCCACAAACGCACTTTGTGCATGATCAATGATACCAGAGAGAAGGGGTTTAATCCGATTAGCCAAAATCTTAGAGATTGTCTTGTAAAGAACATTGGTGCAGGCAATGGGCCTATAGTCAGCCGCAGTAGGATTATGGGATTTCTTAGGGATTAAAGCAATAGTAGTATGGTTTACCTGCTTCAGCAACTTCCCATGAGCAAAAAATTCCAACACGGCATTGGTAAAGTCACCGCCCACCACTTCCCAATTTTTTCTAAAGAAACCAGATGAAAATCCATCTGGCCCTGGTGCTTTGTCTTCCCCTATGTCAAAAAGTGCTTCCTTCACCTCTATGGGAGTAATAGGAGCCTCGAGTTTATCTGCCATTTCAGGATCAACCAATCTTCCATTCTTAATCACCTCATCTTCCATGAGTTTGCACTGGGGTGCCTTCCCAAGAATATCAGTAAAGTAGTTTTTCAATTCCAGAATGACCTCAGCAGTTGAAGTGGTCATCAATCCATTAGATTTTTGAAGGGAAGAGATAGAATTTCTGGCAGAATTCCTTTTAGCTATGGAATGAAATTATTTGGTGCACATATCTCCCTTAATCAGATGGTTAATTTTTGCCCTTTGTTTGAAGTATAAGAATTCTGCCTCAGAAAGAAAAGTGCCCTTCTTTCTAATACTCTGGACCTCTTCTTTCAGATAAGGATTATCCGGGTCTAGAAAAAGTCGCTTTTGTATTTCCCTGTATCTTTCTTTAGCCTCCTTAGCCCGTGCTGAGATATGAGAGAACTCGTTTGTGTTTAACTCCTTAAGAGGGATCTTCAGGCGTTTCAGTTTAGAGCACCCATCAACATCGACCTCCCAACACTTTCTGATCAATTCCTTAAATTTCGGGTGTTGCATCCACATGTTAAAGAATTTAAAGGGTTACTGACCACCTAGTTCATTAAACAACAGAGACACTAGTACAGGACAATGGTCTGATATCATATCGAAATCTAGGAATTCAGCCACACAATGAAGTCCATTGGTCTTCCAGTATTGATTAACCAACACCCTGTCCAGTTTAGCCCATCCATTCCCTCTATTCCAAGTGAAGTCAACCCCAAAAGATGGGGTGTCTTCCAGATTCAACAAATTTCTACAATTCAAAAGATCTCTCGTAAAGTAATCAGTCGGTTCCTTACTACCCATCCTTTCCTTTGGGTAGCACACACAATTAAAGAGACCGGAGATATTTCTTCTAAAGCCACACAAGGCTCCTCCCATCTTCTACGGAGTATAAGAGCCTGTTTGGTAGCACGAAAATCTGTTGTTTTGGCTGATTCTGCTGAAATTTACGATGTTTTGGTTGAAGTGACTGCATTGACTGATTCTGCTTATTTAAGAAAAAAATATTTTTAAAATATATTTTATTAATAAAATAAAGAAAAAGTTACATGTAAAAATAGCTAAAGTGGTCATCTATAGTAACTTCAGCCGAAACAGCCAGAAAAGTAACTTTAAACTTTTTTTTTTCTGCTTATTACACAATCCAGCGCGCGAAAGTAAAAGTTACTCCCTTTGGAAAGTTGATGTTTCTAATAAGGAAGATGTAATTAAGTGATGCAAATAGAATTCACCTTATTCACGCATTGTTTTTTATTTTGTGCTTTGACCTCACCTCTTTGCATTTTGTGGAACGTGCTTGTGGAAATGTTTTGAGGCATGAGAGACTGACTTTGTGTTTTCTCTACTGTGTAACTGTTGCTTTACAGTATGTGATACTCTTGACAAACTTTTTGAGAAGCTTTAAAAATACATGCACCTCTATTGATTACATCTATGTTCTCCTTCACTTCGAAATGAGAAAACTTCAATTAGGGATTACACTACAACAATTGGTCTTCGCTAGAGTACTTGCTACTTTGAGAAAGTTTTAATGTATCTCAGTTCTTATATACTTCGTAGTAAGCTTTTTTCAATAAGAAAAAGTAATTGATGATTATATTTACTTGGAAAAAAGGTCAAATAAATTCTTCTATTATTTCCAATCCGTCATTTAAGCTCTTGTACTAAAAGAAGTATCATATAAGTACGTCTACTTTACAAAATTGATCAATTTGACCATTTAATAGGTTTTTGACCTATAATAGCAGATTTTTAATATTTAAAAACTTTAAAAAATTGTTAAAATTTGAAGAAATACATACAAAAATTGTGAAAATTTTCATAATATCAAAGTCAATATTTTTTAACTTTTAAAAATATTCGTATATTCTACATCTATTTAAAAGGTTTATAAAATTTTATTTTTTCATTTTTTAGTTTCACTTTAATTTTTTCAGTTTCATGAATTTTTTATTTTTTATTTTTAAATTTTAAAAATTTTAAAATCTATTTTTACATTTATATCATTTTTTATATTATTATTAGATTTATATCATTTAAATTTTTAATATTCAAATTTATATGAATTTATATTTTTACATTTATATCATTTTTTGTATATTATTATTGGATTTATAAATATTATTATTAGATTTATCAATATTATTATTAGATTTATCAATATTATTATTAGATTAATATTCAAATTTATATGAATTTTTATATGAATTTTTGTATATTATTATGAAAAAATTACACAAATATTACTACTTTTAATATTTCTAACAAAAATATGACTATTGAATAAAATAACAAGGTGGTTTCCCTACCATTACTCCAATGTTGTTTGTACGTGATGGGTAGTTATGGACTTATAGTCACTTTTTTGTAAACTCAAGTATTATTGGTAATATTTACATAAAAACTCTATTATTATTAGATTTATCAATATTTCTAATTTAATTTAAAAAAAAAATAACGTACTATAGCAATTCAAATTGCTTGGTTGATTGTATTCTAAAAGTATGGGGCTTTTAGTACATGGGCTTAAGTGACGGATTAGAGATAGTACAAAGTCTTATTTGGCCCTTTTTTCTATTTGCTTTAAGAGATGTTCACATAAGTATGACTAAAGGAGAAGTGAAGGTACACATGTTACTGCTTTTGAAATACGGAGTAATTCTTAAAATAATCGAATAAGTCACATGGAATATGTCACATACTTCTAGGACATGTTTAATTTACGTGTTACTAAACGTTGCTTATTAAGACACGCGTTAATAAGTGGCGCATAAAATAACCAGTGTTGTAAGCTCATGTTTACTTCAAAAATTTAAAACACAGTTTAACATTAAAGTGTCCAAAATAACCCTATATATAGACACACAAACTTTCATGAACACACGTATATAATATAATATGTGGGGGTACCCATACCCCTAACCTATACCTTTATACCCTACACCCTACACTCTACCCCCAATTCCACACTCTTGACCCCTACCCCTTCTCTTCCCATACCATTACCACGACCTTACCCTCTACCCCTACTCCTCTATAACCCTCATAACCCATGCCCTGCTCGTGTCCAAACAATGTTTGAACAGTGCAAAATAGTGCACTCCACAGTAAGACCAAATTTATTTTCTTAATCTGTGTGATGACAAACTTAATTACGGGACGGAGGGAATAATATCTAGTGTCGTTAACGGAAGATAAACAATATATCTATTTATAAGAAATATAAATATGGATATAAGCAAAATAATATGTTCCCAATTCCCAAACCCTTGGGCCAGTCTAAGTGATCCGATCACCTCAAAATCTCAGCCAACTCCTCCCGCCCAACACCAATTAACACCAATTAGCTTCACTTGGATAAAATGAACTGATAACGCCACTAAAAACAGCATATATTGGCTCGAGGGGTTGGCTGAAACATTAAAAACAAACATGTGCATATTCACAAACAAATAAAGAAATAGTGACATATTAATGACCATTTCTAATATGAGCGACAGTCTTTACTGGTGCTGTCACCGGTCTGCACAATGTCGTTCATTTTTTTGTTCGTCACTTTTGATTTAGTAATATACTATCGTATGTAATAGGTAGTAGAAAAACTCCAAAAGAAACACTCAGTATAGAAATTTTGGTTAATTGTTATCATTTGCATACAAACCGTCACAAATAATATTGAAGATGTAGTTGTGAAGGACTACAGATATTATAATATCTTACACACATGCGCCCAGAAACACATCAGCTTGTAGAAGGCGGAGTAGGAAGACTTGGCACAACAGAAGCCTGATACATGCCAGTTGCTTGCCTCCCCGTTAGATCCTCCACACTCACCTTCACCACATCTCTACGCGTCCCAATATCAGCAGCATATCGGCTGGCACAATACACCCCAACAGCCATAGCTGCCATCCCATACACATTTGTCGTGACAAGCCGTAGCGGTGACGATAAAACAGCTGCCAGAGGCCCGCCTATTATAGACACCGCCTGCCCGCTCTGCCCCATCGAACTCCTCTCATCCACCACGAGCAAACCCGTCTTGCAATAGATCGCAAAATCCTCACAGTTGTTCTTGAACACATTGTAACACCCGAACCCGTTTCTAAGAAGGTGATTTGCCCGGTGCACCACATCCTCATCTGGATCTGGGACTGCAAGGGAGCAAGTTCCCCCACGTACCTTTGCGAGGAAAAGAGCAGGGTTGACCGAGTATTCAAATCGGTAGAGGATGCCGCCGGCAAGGAAGCAGTCCAGGCACGACAAGTGGACCCCGTGGCTGTCTCTTGAGGGGGTGCACGTGACACAAGACACATGGGACCGGGAGGGTCCGGAGCTTACCAGGAGGACATCCAACACAGTCCCGGTCCCCACCTCTTGACCATGTCTGGTGAAGTGGATGACTTTATTCTCACCAACATAGATACCTGTCACAAGGCAAATCTTTCATTCATGTCTTTTGAATCATTCACTCATTTATTCATAAACCTTAACAGTACTATGAAAGCAGATGTTGAGTGACACCTCATAGAGTTGGCAATTGACTAAACATTCTTGATTAATTACTTGTACCCATGAGACTTGATCAAATGACCTCAAGATTCTAAAAACTACAAAAAAGTCCCTTGACCATTAGATTTTCATTAAACTATTTTTTTTTAACAGAAAGAATCAAAGAATGTACTTCATCCTAAATAATTGTTCAAATACACTATTTCTGCAATCAATTTAACTTTTTTATTTTTTTTTATAGCCCAGAAAATACCACCCACTAGGGTAAGAGCTAGGCCTCTCTTACCAAATATTATTAATAAAAGAAAATTACATGGAGGACATGGTGCATTACCCCAAGAGTACACAAACAGTACTGCTAACAGCAAACTTCTCTAATGTGGTTAAGGGGACGAAGATGTGTTGATAAAAACAGCAAAGGAGAGAGGTCCACTCATCTTGCTAACCAAAATAACTACTAAACTGGCTTCCATTGAGATATAAGAGAAAGTGATGTCCATGTTTGTAGCAATATCGAGAATAAGAGAGGCAGTGTGTTGAGAATCTTTATCTACAGAATTTTTATGTTTGGTGAGAATACAGTAGTAGGCTGGAGGTTTTTTACAATAGTTTCATACAGTATCATACTTGATCAGTTTTGCAGTTCAATATAACTTTCAGTACAGTTTCATGTTAATACTGATTTCAACATTATCATGGAATAATTAACTTTGTTGATTGGTCAATTATCATAAAACGAATCGAGAACCTGAAATTATGAATGAGGTTAAAATATAATGAAATTAACAAAATGGCATGTTTAAATTGAATTTGGTGTTTTTAACATTGTCCCCACTAAAACATATAAAACTTTCCTCAAAAAGGATCTCCAAACACACATATAGAGTCCGAAAAACTCAATGCATAGTAATATAGTTCTACAAAAATAACTTATCATCTTTTGGTGTTAAAATTTTTTACTTTCCAAGGAGCTTATTTGTAGCTTTTAGCAACTCCGGGGTTATTTGTTAATTTGAGTATTTGACCATATCTTGAAGGAAGTGGGTGTAATTAATCCAATATTTTTCAACGGCAAGTCATCTAGAAAGAGGTAGTTTTAGAAGTAAAAATGCAACTTCACAAGGTCGGCAGCAAAAGAAAAAATGTAGTAATGGAAACAGTTCAAACTAAAGCATAATAACCATTCACATACACATGATCATATTCCCAAATTGAACAATCAATGACTACTATCACTTGTATAGAAATTTGCCTATCCATAGAATATACAAAACAATCTTGAGAGGTTGAAATATAATAATGACACCAATAGAAGCATTTTG